GTATACTGTCTCGCAATGTAAATTTAAGTAAATTAGGTTGAACTGCACAGAAAATACACAGAACTGCACAAATAATTACCAGCTCAAATATGAGCTGCTTAATGTATATGCTTAAAATTTATTTTCTTGTGGCCGCCTGACAGCAACCTGTAAATCTGGCGTGACAGTGAACGTGTTAATAAGTAAATGTTGTTCAAATTATGTCGTGTTTGATGTCATTTTCATCAGAAAAATCTCATCAATATGTTAAGAAAAATTTCGGGATAAAAAAACGTAAAATTAAAAAAGTTGATATTTAAATCGCTTGGTTGCCTCGACTGACGTTTCATGCTTATCTTTTATTCGCTGTCCTTGCCGACGTTCGGCAAACTACAAAGGCGGGCGTGAGGCTTCAAGCGTAGTCCCTGACTCTACGAGTGTCAGGTTTAGCTTCCTTGCGGTCTGACACTTGGGGAGAATATACTGTATATGTATGCAGTGTTCTGTCAAACTACGTGTAGGTTTAGAGACGTCGACTGTCCGCGTAGATGGAAATCCGCGTAGTTGGGAACCATCCCCCGATTTTACGGAAAATCGAAGTCGGATCATCTGCACTGCGTGTCAATTGTCGTATATTGTCGTTAGAATACTAACAAACGAAGTAGGTCGTATGTAAAGACTTAGTTGTTTACTAAGAGACAGTGTTTTTCCAGAAAAGGATAGAATATGTACTTGTCTCGTGGAGACAGCAGTAAAAAAAACTAATTTGTTGTTGTTTCATAGTTATAACACATCTTATTTCAAGAAAAATGAACTTAGGATACGATAAAATGAAATTGTTGCAGTAATTGATCTAATCAGCTATACGTAGGCTATCCTCTATTTTCAATTAACTCAATCATTCGATTGTTTACGTATGTATACATACATATTATTCACGCACACACATACCGTGAAACTGTAGCTGCGTAGCTCGCAAAGACACGCTTCTCGTTTGATTTTTCTCCCAAGCTGAGCTGTTCGTTGTGTACTTAAATTCGGTGCACTAGCTTCTTGTATGCAGCGGCACTTAATTCACACAAACGAATATGCTAAGTACGTAAATTGATTGGAAATCCGCGTATAATCGAAAACGCGTTGTTCGATGTATTCCCTACAAGACTAGAATCGCGCAGTATAAGCGACGTTCGTCGTTCGTCGAGGCACTCGTTCGACAGCCTCGTAAACACCGACTGAGGACGAGTCGTCCTGCCCGATTTCTGATCACTATTTACACGCAGCTAGCCTAGCAAGAAACATCGGGACTGAGTCACCCTCTTGTCTCACAACATTGCGAGAGACTCGTGATATCTTTTCCGAGAAAAACATAAGAAACGCGAGCCTGGGTCGCTGTACGTACGTTGAGCCAAACATAAAGCTAGCTGCCTGTTCGCGCACAGAAAAGAGTTAGCGGGAAAAGAATTTCTACTACTTATTCCCTTTTTTCAAATTTAGTATTACCGTTTCCTTCTTTCTCTACAAAATTTTTTCAAATTTTTACTCACAAGTTCCAATCCATTTTTTATATTATTCCGGATACTGTTCCATAAAATGTCACAGTACCGTGCACCGCGTGTCATACGCTCGGTAGAACTGAAATACCAAACCGTTACACTGTCCTTTTGAGAGTAAAACTATCGCGAGTTGCTCTCGCGAGTGGACACTATGTCTGAGAGTGATTGTCTGAGAGTACTCTGTCGAGAGGACTCGAATAAACAGTTGCTTTGCAAAC